AGAAATGACAGAGGGAAACCACGTCACGTCGGTGAGAAAGTGAGTGAAGACGAGATGCCAAGTCAGTATCGATTTCGTGATCGTCTGTCCATAATTTGATCAAATGTGCAACCTTGTTTATACAACAAAATGGAAGAACAATTGAAAATTTATTGTAATTTCAAAAACCTCACAATTTTATACCCATTAGTTTCAAAATATATATTGTGGTTTTCACACTTGGTTATTTTCCATGAGAATAGTTTTAAAACAGGCGTTCAGTTTATTTCCTCCTCATGTATGTATATATATATATATATATATATATATATATATATATATATATATATATATGGGTGTGTGTGTGTGTGTGCGCGCGTGAGTGTGTATTGTCATCCTCATACAAGCCTGTTTGCTGTATCACACCTCACCAATGTAGCTAGACGTCCGATTGCTTCAAGATGGGATCGATACTCGACCGATTTGGCATCAGTCAAAGATCCTCCCCCTAAGCCTTCGGTGCACGGCAGAGAAAGGGAATTTTTAACGTATTATATACAAGATGTATACAAAGATATATATGTGTGTGCGTGTGTGTATGTGTGTGTGAGACTGTGTACGCATACACACACCGAAAGTAATGTTTGAAATTTATTTTCCTGTAACCTCTCATAATTACAGCGAACAACAAAAAAGTCGGTCTTAACTTTTCCCACATTCTTGCCTCATTATTTCGTCTGCAATGAAGGAGAGCCTGTACGGCGCTGTCGTGAACATAACTTGTACGCATTTTCGTCGTCTCTGTTGAATCGCATTACCCACCGCCTAACCCTGCTCACGTCCACACAAACATTCAGCCAGCGACTAGGAATAAAAATGGGTGACACGTTTTCCATAAAGTATTTCAATAACACAATTCTACTTTGTGTTTGCTTTCATATCAGACGCCATTTTTCCAGTTTGCCTGTCAGCTACAGTTAATGAGAATATGGTTATTTGGCAGGTATAGTCAGTCTTTAGTGGCAGCTAAGTGTTGAGAAACAGAAAGATGTTAGAAACAAAGAAATGACTGCTTAATTTACTATGTGATGTCCATGCTCTTATAAGGCAGTGAATGCTGGAGAATCTCATGGATGAGGAGAAAGCTAGAAGCAAGAGAAATTTGGTTCTACAGTAGGGTACTGAGAATTCTGCGGAAGAAGCGTGTAAGCAAAGAGGAAGACTTAAAGAAAATGTCAAAAAAAAACGAACGAAACACTCAGAATCAGAAAACAACTGCTGAAACTTTGATACATACTGAGGAAAGACGGCATGGAAAACTTAACACGAACAGGGTATATTGAGGGCAAGATAAACAGGGGAAGGCAGAAAGCTAAATACGTGACAAACATGCGTGAATGGATGATGAGGCGGAGGGCAGTAGGATAAGATAACACTGCTAACTGACACAAGGGATAGGCAGCTGTAGAGAGCCATGATCGTAAATCTGGTTGACAACTTCATATGGCTAATGATTTCGACCTTCGAAATACTTGTAACCTTGCTCCAAGATTGAGCATAGTTAATTACATCCGGATTACGTTATGGGCCAATATAATATAATAAAATCGGAAGAGATTGGAAAAAGTGGCCAAAGAAACAAAAAAGAATTCGAATTCTAGTCAAGATGCTGATACTAACTTAGCAGTTACGGTTTAACCAAGTCGACTTCAGACACCCGAAGAAATCTAGTAGGAATGTTGTGATGATAACAACACACAAAGAAGGTCGGAGAGAACAACGACCGAAACGTTGTGATAAATTACAATAGCAGAAGAAGCTCGGAGGGGAAAACGGCCGAAACTTTGTGATAATAACAACACCTGAATAATGTTTTACTTTACAACGTCCGAATGATTGCGATAATAACAAAAACTGAAGAAGGTCAGAGGAAAAAAAGCCGAAACGTTGTGATAATAACAACACCTGAAGAATGTCGTAGGTTACAACGCCCGAAAGTTTGTGATAACAACATCTGAAGAAGCTCAGAGGGAAAAACGGCCGAAACGTTGTGATAATAACAACACCTGAAGAAGGCTGTTAAACACAAAACCTGAAAGTTTGTGATATTAACATCAAGTGAAGAAGGCAACAACGATCGAAACGTCGTGATAACAAAAACAATGATGAGGATATTAGTCCGGCTATAAATATTTTTTAACCCGTAACACATTAGGATCGTAGGGGCACCACCCGCACTGCAGCCGTAGTAGCAGTGATGTTTCCTGGGCTAGACACCATGGCCGAAACCAAATCTTTCCAGAACGGCTCTGTGTTTTTCCTTCTCCTAGACTGATTTCCACATAAGGCTATAGGGCCCAGTCTGTCTTGCTATTTGCGGTAATGGTGCTGCTTGGGAGAAAACTGGCGCTACAGCATCATAGAATTGCACCTGATAAAAGAAACCGCATCAATTGAGAACGTTTAACAGCAACAAGAACTAAAATGGAGAGCACATGTAACACAAAGAGAAAATAATGACATAATCTAGATGTTGACATTCCACACGACCTCAAGCAAAAGGTTAGGAAAGAACCCCCCATCAATACTGGAAAGAGTGATAACAGCTACTGGGCTTGAGAAGAGAAAATAATGACATAATCAAGATGTTGACATTCCACACGACTTCAAACAAAAGGTTAGGAAGGAAACACTCAACATTATTGGAAAGAGCAATAACAGCTACTGGACTTGCGAAACCGATTTTCCTGTTAATTCTTTTAATAGAAATATTTTATGAATTTCAAATGAAAGTAATACTGGCTGCTCAATAAATGAATGTCGAGTGTTACTTTATAAGCGGAGCTCGAATTTCGGTCAAGTTCCTTACATTCACTGATGCGTTGGCTAGGTGCAGACTGGGCTCTGTAGCCGTGTTTGCCAAACAGTCTAGGAAAAGGACAACGCTGAATTCAAAAACATATGTAGTCCTCGGACAAAATCACATGACATGCATAGCACCCGGAAAATACCCCTGCCGAGAGTTACTATGAAGATACCGGCTGCTATGACAGAATCTAACAGACCAGATCTGTGGCGTTGAACTTCAACGATGTCATGCAAGAAGATCATTCATACTGCAAAATAGATATGACTTAATTATTCCCATAGAGAAACACCTTGTGTCCTCTAATATGTGCGCAACCGAAAACCCTAAATTAGAAAGGTGGTAACACCAAGGCGTGTCCCGACGGACGATCAAGTTAGTTGCGTCCGCAAGCGTATAAACATAGAAACTAATTCAAATATCTTTCACACACCCGCACAAACACAGACATAGACACTCACATACACACACGTATACATAAACTAAGACGCACATACTGAGCAGAAAGGGAATTAATGGTGATCGCGAATGAGATAGTGATGGAAGCAAATGTATAAGCAGGGAAAAGATAGAATGATCAGAAAGAAAGAGGGAGAGAGTGAAAAGAGAGGGATGGAGAAAGAGAAAGAGAGTGTGAGTTTGAGAAAATTAAACAAGGGAGAAAGAGTGGGATATAAAAGGGGAAAGTGAGAAATATGATGACGAGTGAGGTAGAAATGGAAGCAAATACAGAAAGGAGCGAGTGGGTAAAAGTAAGAAAGAAAATTTGTTGGCTTTCTTTTTTCTTTCTTTCTTTCTTTCTTTCTTTCTTTCTTTCTTTCTTTCTTTCTCGCTTTCATACTTTCTTTGTTTCTTTCATTCCTTCTTTTTTCTTTCTTTCTTTGTTTATCTTTCATTCCCACTTTCCCGCTTTCTACTTTCTCTCTTTCTTTCTGTCTTACTTTTATTCTTTTTGTTTTTCTTTCTTTCTAGCCATCTTTCTTCCTTTCTTTCTTTTTATTTTCTTTATTTCTTTCTTTCTCGCTTTTTCTTTCTTTGTCGCTTTCATACATTCTTTCTCTCTTTTTTCCTTCTTTCTTTCGTCTTTCTTTATTTCTCTTTCTTTCTCTTTCTTTTCCTTTCTTTCTCTTTCTTTTCCTTTCTTTCTCTTTTTCACGCTTTATTTCTGTCTTTCTTTCACGCTTTCATACATTTTTTTCTCTCTCTTTTTTTTCTTTTTTCTAACATTCTCTTTTTCTTCCTTTCTTGGTCCTTTCTTTCTTTCTTTCTCGCCTTCTTTCTTCATTTCTTTTTTTTTCTTTCATTCTCTCTCTTATTTTATTTTATTTCTTTCTTTCCCTTTTTCTTTCTTTCTTTTTCTTTATTTCTTTCGTTCCTTTTTTTTTCATTCATTATCTATTTCTCGCTTTCATTCTTCCTTTCTTTCATTCTTTCTTTCATAATTTATCTAGAATTAATACTTTCTTTTTCTCTTTCTTTCCTTCTTTCTTTATATCACTCTTTCAATCTTCTTTCTTTCTTTCATTCTCTGTTTCTCGCTTTCTGTCTGTCTTTCATACTTTCTTTCTTTCTCTCTTTTTCCTTTTCTTTCCTCTCTCTTTTTTTTCACTTTTTCTTTCTTTCTCATTTTCTTTCTTTCTTTCTTTCTTTCTTTCTTTCTTTCTTTCTTTCTTTCTATTCTGTTACTTTTCTCTCTTTGTTGTCCTCTTCCTCCATATTTCTCTTGTAATGGAAATGATGTCCAAACTTAAGTTCGTCTTTCCAATAATCTTCGGTTCTATTTGGTTTCCTTTCGTCAAGTCTCCAATGAATGCAGCAGCGTCACTGTTTCTTCTATTACGCCGCCACCGCCGCCCGCAATCTGAAATAACATTTCCAAAAATCTAAATAACGAAATAACAACGGCCTTTCAGTTAAAATATTAGCATGTATCAAAAGTACTTTCGTTTTTTATCGACCTTTGGATGGAGGGGGGCAATGACAGAATCTAATTAGGATCAGATTTTTAGGCACTGAACTTTAATCGTGTCATGCAAAAAAAAAAAAGACAATAGACGAGACTTAATTATTCCTCGTCAGATGGAAACTGCGGAAGAGTAGCGCCTGTGTCTCCAAATATATAGGCAACTGAATCCCCTATGATGATACATGGGCTTACAACCATATCATGTTGAAACACCGGTTCTCATACAATCACCATAGTTAAGCAACGTCGAGCCTGTCAGTACCTGAATGGGTGACCACTAGGGAATACCAGGTGCAGTAAGGCCAGTTCCAACAATAGACGGCTTTGTTAAATTCATTTACGCGCAAATACACTTGGGAAAAACATGAATCTGTCTCTTCTTTTCCCCAGCTATGGGTTAATTAGTAGGATTTGTATCAGTAAATAAGACAATTCTAACAATCTAAATATATTTTCAGACTTTTGAGGTTGTTGAGCCTAAAAAAATGAACAGGCTTGTCAATCAGTTACATGACACCTTGGTGCGACTCGACGGACGATCTAGTTCAGGGGTGGGTAACTACGGCCCACGGGTCACATGCGACCCGCCAAAAGAATTCATGCAGCCCGTCAAATCTTAGTAAATTTCAAAGAGAATGTTACCAAGCAACGCCAAATAATTGTTACAAGCAACTTGACGCCTAATTTTAACAAATTGATAAATGATTGCAACCTGATACATTATTCTCAGTAAGTCATTGAAATCCTTGTGTCCTTGCTTTGTTTTTCAAATAAATCTGTTTCGTGTAAAGTTTCTTCTTTAAAATCTAAATTAATTTTTTTCTTTAAATTTAATTACTTTATATGTGTTTTATTTGAAGACTTTAAAATATTAGTAAGAATTGTTTTCATTTCCTTACGCAGAGTTAATTTGTTTTTCAAATAAACATGTTTTCTGTTTTATAATATTAATTAATAAAAATATTTTTTCTTAAAACGAATTTATTTTGTCTTTCACTTGTTTCATGTAAATCTTCAACTTAAAAATACTTACTAATATTCTTTTCTTTAAAGTACTTTAAACTGAATTCTTTTAAAATAAATGCGTTTCATGTGAATCTTCTACAGTACTTTAAAATATTAATTAATAAAAATTAATTTTCTTTAAAAGCCTTTTTTGTATATTTTTAAATATTACTTATTTTGGGTTTATATACTATGCGACCCAATAAAATTGGGAATTTTTGAATGAGGCCCTTGCACTGAAAAGTTTGATCACCCTTAATCTAGTTAGTAATATTAAGAAGTCCGAAGAAAGCACGAACGGATAATGGCCGAAACCTTGCTTTTTATAATAACCAAGATGAGTCGGAATGCAAAGATATGTAATGAAAAAATTGCTTGAAATATCTAGACTTGAATAAATATATCTATTAACGCAACAAATTAGTATATCTGCCACATATCGAATAATAGTTATAATTTTTCTCAGGATTTTAAATGATTCCGAAAGGCCATGGAGTGCATATGCCTAAATATAATGATGTCAACAATACAGAGTTCGTTATTTAGTCATTTGAACTGTGAATTCTGTTTCTATGGACCTGTCCGACAATTCTGGTCTACATACATCAAATTTTACGCAAATTAGTTTTCTACGAACCCCAAAACTGGGCAAATTAGATGATGTATAAATGATAATTTATAAACACGGCTTCAGGCATTCTACACTGGAGAATCTCTTGAAGAACTGACTTCTCTATCAAAACTCAACTACCCATTTTTAGATCAGTCAATTCTCTTCACATCCGCAACATCAGAGCAGCGATCTTTCGCTCGAAACTAATGTGACCTTAAACCGCAACTTTATTTCCCAACTTATGCTCCTCTCCTGAGTCCCTACCAATTCCAAGTCACCCAACAAGTAATCTCTACTCTTCCAGTTCACGTATCCTCCCAACCCCAGCACATTAGTAAGAAAATTCGCTCTCGCAAGCACCAGTTTTACTGTTCTTTCGAATCGCTATTACCTACTTGAGAGAGGAAAGTATGGGGAAGGGGCGAGGAAGCAGTGTAGGGCAAGTGATGATTAAAAAAGAGAGAACATCACCGAGCAACCAGCAAAGCAGCCAACCTTAAAAAGCAAGTCAGTATTCTTTCCTTGCAACATTTTTTTCCCAGGGTCTTATGAATAGACGACTAGGAAATAATAATAATAATAATAATAAAGACAATAATAATAACAACAACAATAATATATATATATATATATATATATGTACAAAGACTTTATACCAGATTATTTATATATTGTTTTAAAAATGACGAAGCGCATTCTTTTTCTTTAAAAAGGAAGCTTTTTCGTTCAGCACTCCTTAAAAAAGATTCGTTGAAAATAATAAAAAAAAAAACATTAAAAAAAAACAATTACAAATGGCGAACCTAAAATGGTGCATGGGGTTGGGGGCAAATAAAGACCCCACGTCTAAAATAAATTTATTACTAAAACAATAAATCGGTGTAAATAGGCTCCCAGTGAGAATAAATCAGAAAAAAAATTTTTTTTACTCACAACCCACCCATGGGACACACAGAATATTCTTCAGCCTGCACAAAGTCGGTCGATGAAGCTCAATAGGAACAGCTTCTAAAAACGTAAATATTTAGCCGACCGAGCTTTCTGCAGTACCCTAAATACTTCGTCAGAATATTTCAAAGCGCAACCCGAGTTGTTCACCAAATGTAGTCCAATTGCTGACTCACGCATACTGTCGCTGACAATGCCCTGTCTTATATGAGCAAGAACGTATTGTCCAAACAGGATTTCCAACTGCAAATTGGTTCGTCCCTCATAATCAGCCTCACACTGACATTTAATTTGATAAATAATAAAACTACTTTGCAAGGTAGGGCAAAGCATCCTTAGCGAAAGATGAGAACATTAGAATAGTATCAAAGTCGACACGTAAGTTGAAATTCGAAAAGCTAGAAGTCACACATGTAAATACCCTATTTGCAAGTGTCGGACTACTCCTGCACAACCACTGCAGTTTAAAATTTACTAGACAAAGACAAAATTCACAAACCATGGGAGACTTAAAACTGATAACCTTACGTTGCACCGTAGATTTAACAACTTTAGCCGGGTAACCGTTATTCCAGAAAATATTGTGAATGGTCACCAATTCGACGCTTTGTGAGTCAGCGATTAGACTACATTTGGTGAACAACCCGGGTTGCGCTTTGAAATATTCTGACGCAGCGTTTAAGGCAAATATTTACGGTTATTTAGAATGTGTTCATATTAAGCTTCATCGACCGACTGTGCAGGCAGAAGGAAACATTTCTCCGTTCTCATGGGTGGGTCGCGAGTACAAAAAGTTTTTCTTTTTTATACTCACTAGAAGGTTATTTACATCGATTTGTTGTTTTAGTAATTTGTTACTTATTTGCCACTATCCTCGCCCATGCAGTTTTTCAGTTCCGTTTCATGGGTGGGGGTGTATGTTTGTTGTTGTTGTTGTTTTTTTTTTTTGTTTTTTTTATCAACGAATTTTTTTGAAGAAGTGTTGGGCGTAAAAAAAGTTTCCATTTAAAGAAAAAAGGATTCGCTCAGTCATTTTATAAAAACACTATATATATATATATATATATATATATATATATATATATATATATATATATATATCATAAAGTTTATGGTCGGGGTCAAATGAGATCACAAAGCTGTATTAATAAGTGGTCAATACATGGATAAAAAATATAAATTTAAGATGTAGAACTTTTAACTATAATAAATTAGAATAGCCGATTCCGCTACCTTGGTCTCAATTTTTCGGTATATTCGGGCAATTTCGGTCAAATCGAACCGAAAGATACCGAAAGGTTGAAACCCGGGTAACGGAATCGGATCATGTCCTAATTTTATATATATAGAAACATATAGAATCACACTGGTAGAAAACAAAAATATATTAACTGCATCCACCTGCAAAAAAAAAAAAAAAGACTTAAAATAATGGAAGCTCTAATAATAAAAAAGAAAAAAACAACTTTTAACAATATTAACTACGAACAAAGCCACAATGTGCTGACCGTATTCGGAAATTAAAAACATCCCTACCACACACTAAGATATACACAGAACGCACACACTCAATTAAGCTGAAAAATTGAATAATCCTTGATAATGGCTAAAGGTATAGCCGAAAGCGCTCGGAAATATAAAACATTTGGACAGTTCTTACACACCCTTTGTCCAGAAAAGAAAGCTCTTGTTCGAACACAAGAAAAATTAAATAAAAGCTTAACCGTAGTACCTTGTCTGTCATTTTAATGAAACATGCATAAAGGAAGGATTGATGCCTAGATATACAATATATATATATATATATATATATATATATATATATATATATATATATGTGTGTGTGTGTGTGTGTGTGTGTGTGTGTGTTACACAACAAAATCCAAAATGACCTCATATGGAGATAGATCTATTTCAACCAACGTGAAGTACATCAGTCTTATTCAACCCCGGTGTATGGACAGTCCATATAGAGATTTACTTAAAGATATTTTTGTATGAGAGCAAGTGTTGAGTTGATAGGTGTACAAAAATAGGTAAACATAAATTCTTCAATGAGGATAATTAATTACTAAGCTCATATATTGTGCAGGTTCTTCTGTAAAAAATGCCAGATAGAAAAAAAAGTATTTTATTTTTATTAATTCGGACCGTTCATCTTCATATTCACGTTTCGGTCTTCATCAGGTGATTGGAATTTCGAACCGAACCCTTTATCTTATTCCGTCCACCGTGGTTGATTGTTCTAGTTCCACGTACTATGCCACTTCCGATTGTCGCAGTTATTATCACTTTACGTCAAGTCACCTAGATTTGGTTCACCTCGGATTGAACTCACATCATTTGAGCCTAGTCACTGGATATAAGCAACGTCTTTATCCACTGGACCATTGAGGACATCTGTGTAAGAGTTTTTGGCACTTATACACCTAATGTCTTGGCAATCATTTTTACGCATGCTCATATTGCAATTTTTCTGTTGTTATTGTTGAATTATTTTTTATTTTTATTTTTTTTACCGGAGCTTATATTGTATTTTTGTTGTTGTTATTCATTGCTTTTCTCTCGCACTCCTTATTACTGGTTCGCATATTGTATTCATTTCTATGCTTGGTAAGCTCAGGAGATTTTTGTGGCTTAGCATATATGCTGATTCCTTAAGTTTTCGTATTTTCCAGTGATGCTCTCTGTCTATTATTTCAACCTCATCCCACAGGAGGTCGTGATCCCCTGA